AATGTCAGTTGTAGCTGCATAGATTGGAGCAACTGCTCTGCCTGAAATGTAAACTCTGCATGGAGACTCATGTGCACGAAACTCTGGATTTGTGGATGGCAAGTCTGTTTATGGCAAGACTGCTTTGGCAAGGAAAGTACAGCCAGAAAAAAACAACTCAGTAGCAATTCCTCTTCCTGCGCCCTAACCTCATAACAAACCTACTTTCCCACAACTCTTGTGCTAGAGCAGATGCTTCCCTTCTCAGTGTTCTCGCTCAGTGCTAAATACTGAACTCAAGCTGACCAGGCTTTCTTGGATAAAAGAAATATATATTGATCCTGAAAGCTGCATTTCCCCAGAAAATATTCCAGATGATTATGGCAGCAAGCCTTTGGAGTCTCCAGACCTGTCCAAAAACAGGTTCAGGAGACCAACTTAGGTTGTTTACTTGATGGTAGACAATGCTGTGTGGGAGGAGGAAAGGAAACAGGGATTCTGCCAATTACTGTCCCACATTGCATTATGTATAGTTATTCAGACAGTAATTATGAATGGGCCACATTGCCAGTGTGAGGTAAAGGCAGATTGCAGAGACAATATTTTTCATATCAACATACTTTTCTTTTGATTGAAGAATAGAAAGAAAATACATTATGCCAGACAAGCTCTGAATGTGACAAATTAAATGGCCTGTATGAATGGAATTTAAGCAAAACATGTTTGTAAAGATGTAAAGACAACATGAATCGGGTATATGTTTGTATGATAGATCAGAATGGAATATGTAATTATGAGAAAACAAAGTGTACACTGTGTGTGCATATATGTGGAGTTTGAGAGAAAATGTGCGAAAGAACAGCGAACATATATGCTACATAGACCTGTATGTGGGGGGAAAGTATTTTGTAGTGCAATGTCTTCACTGCCATTGTTTTCATATTTACTCAAGTTACTCTGTCGCACAACAATTCCATTCCATTTTAAGGCATGAAGCACTGGTGAGTTCTCAAGGAAACTACTGGTGGTCCTCAACTTACAACCACAATTGAGCCCAAAATTTCTGTTGCTGAGTGAGGCAGTTGTTAAGTGAATTTTGTCCCATTTTACAACTTTTCTTGACACAGTTGTTAAGTGAATTACTGTAGCTGTTATATTAGTAATACGGTTGATAAGTGACTCTGGCTTTCCTATGGACTTTGCTTGTCAGAAGGTTGCAAAAACTGATCAAATGACCCCAGGACATCATTATAGATATGTGTCAGTTTCCAAGCCTCTGAATTTTCATTACATGACCATGGGGATGCTGCAATGGTTGTGTGAAAAATGGTCACAAGTCAGTTTTTTCTGTGATATGGTAACTTCGGATGGTCACTAAATGAACTATTGTAAGTCAAGGACTACCTGTACAAAATTGGGGAATATTAGCTCTTTGCTACTGAACAGGGATTCTGGCCATCTATTCTGTAAATCTTCATTCTATGTCAGGGGTGTCAAACTCAATTTCACTGAGGGCCGTATCAGCATTGCGGTTGCCCTTGGGGGGGCAGGTGGGTGTGGCCAGGGTGAGTGTGGTTTATTGGGTGGGCATGGATGGAGTGGGTGTGGCCTATTGGCTGGGCGTGGCCAGCTCTACATTGTTCGTGTCAAGGGTGCCTGTGGGGGCTTGGGCAGGAGTGGGACAGATCTGAGGGTCTCTGGCAGAAGGGGGTGGGACCAGGGCAAGTGCCAAGGCATGGTCCACTGGAGGAGCCTCACTGTTCCTCTCAGGCCATGCGGGGGGAACTGGATAGTGGCACAGGCTGCCTGGAGCCCTGGGCAGCAGAGGTCAAATGCCCAGCCTGGCCCTCAAGCACCTGCGGCACCAAGCCGTTTCCAGATGGTCTTGTGGAGCTAAGACTGAATGTGTTTCAGCATAGATGGCCACCACAAAATTATACATTGGCTCCCGGCTGGCCTGGGCCAGGGCCAAGACAGCAGGGGCTATTCCCTCATTGTTTCCAGAATGGCTTCGTGGGCCACATGAAACCACTTTGCGGGCTGCATCCGGTCCACGGGCCTTGTGTTTGACATGTCTGTTCTATGTCAAACAGAGTTCGAACAACTGCATAAAGTACATTGAAAAGGATTAGAAAACAGAGTAGGATTAATTGCCAATAAAAGAAGGCCAAAGAAGAAAATGTTTAGTTGGCAAACAGGAATCACAATTGTGCAATAAAAATCAAATAAAACTATCAATCTAACAATGTTAGGAACAATGATAATGGAAGAAAAGGTAGGGAATCTTACATTCAAAAGTACCTCCCCCCTTAACTCTCCCCAAATTTAGTCAATTTATCCCACTCTTGCTAAATATCTTTCTTAAATAAATTGCTACAGAAGAATTGGTGAAACCAAAGGACTTTTCCATTCCAAAATAAATGAGATTTAAACATTTATGTATTCATTCAATTTAGGTGCTACCCCAGACCAAATCTACTGGGCAGCTTATTATATAAAAACAGAATTAAAATATACAACTGAAATGGAAAACACTACACAAGACAGCAAAGCTGGTCAATGGTGGGAAAACATACATCACCCACCCATCCTGGGCCAGAACCAAAAGAAGAAGCTGGACTTTAAGGTTCTCCAGAATGCTTATAAAGAGGAGATCAGAGACAGGAGAAAATTTATCTATTTATCCAAGGAGGGCCTCATGAGAAGGACAAGCACCTCCTTTAAAGCTGGAGGCACCACCTTCTTCCTCAGAGGGCAACACCATCACATGGATCCAGCTAGAGGTCAGCTCCCTGGTCCATTTTTATGACTTAGGACTGGAATTGGAATCTAGTTCAAGGCCTCAGTCACCTGCCCATTCCAAATGACAATTAGTGTTTGGCTGAACATCCATCAAATCCTTGGGGAAAATCTCACAGTCTCTTAGATAGCCCATTGCGTTCATCAATCACTTCTTGTGGGTTGATCAATCCATCATTCTGTGGAAGATTGTGGTAAAATGACACATAACCACCCACCCACCCATAAAGAACTGAATTAGCATAAGCCCCCAAATCCAGTTTATCGGTCATTGTATTTGAACAAATGCCTTTTCTTGATCTCTTTTATTTTTGATGTGCATAGCATAGCACTTTATATCACTCTCAGGAAAACTTTGCTGCATTCAAGAATTCTTGAGAGGGGCACACTTACAAAATATTTTTTAGTCTGTTTCCTGTACTCCTTCCGGTCTTAACTTCCTGTGAACAAATCAGCTCTCCCACACAGATAAGCTTGATCCATTTCCCCCTTTGCCACATTCACTGCTCTCTTGTGATGATGTATACTCCTTTCTCTTTGTAGAGAATCCCCAGACCTGCATGCTAAAGCATTATCTTTTACTTCCAGCCCATATAGCTAATTCAGAATAATATGACACTTTAAGGAGACATTGCTCTTTAGAAAAATCGGAGTTGTGAGACTTATAGTTATGCATATTTATTTCTGTGTTATTTAATATACAATAAAAACATCAAGGATTCATTGCAGGACATCTTCAAATATAAATGTCGTTACACAGATCTGAAAAACAACTAATGACCAAGCTTAAGAGTGTAAAAAAATAACTTGATGCCATCACTAAGGTCTACAAGTAGTCCTCAATTTACGACCACATTTCAGCCCAGAATTTATGTTGCTAAGTGAGAAATTTGTTAAGTGAGTTTTGCCCTATTTTACAACTTTTCTTGCCACATTTGTTATGTGAACCACTGCAGTTGTTAATAGCAAGAGAAGCTGGCTTTCCCATTGACTTTGCTTGTCAGAAGGTTATAAAAGATTATATGACCTCAGGAAACTGTAATCATTATAAATATGAATCAGTTGTCAAGCATCCTAATGTAAATCACATGACTATGGGGATGTTGCAAAGGTCATAAGTCTGAAAAATAGTCATAAGTCACTTTGTTCAGTGCCGTTATAACTTCAAAGTCACTAAATGAACTGTTGTAAGTCGAGAACTACCTGTAATCCTCAACATACAATCATTCATTTAGCAACCATTTGAAGCACTAAAACAGTGTTGAAAAAAGTGACTTATTACCAGTCCTCATAAAAGTTACTGTAGGGTTTCCTGCCTGAGCAGGGGGTTGGACTCGATGACCTCCAAAGTCCCCTCCAACTTTATTATTATTATTATTATTATTATTATTATTATTATTATTATTATTATTACTATTATTATTAACTAACACATTCATTGCATCCTTAACTTTTCTCATTGTAAAATCTGTACCAAAAACTCTACATCCAGATGTAGTTAAACACATGCTTTTCGAAGGGCAAGCAGGCACAATAAGGAACCACATTTTGCAGGCTTATTCCCAATAAAAGTCCATTCATTTATATTTCGCATCTTCCCAAATATCAGTCCACCGACAAACAGCATTCCCAAACAGCCAGCAGAGGACTAAAAAACATCTCGCGAGACGCGAAACAACTGCACAAACACACACGTCGTGTCACTCAAGTACGCTGCCCCGCCTTTAAAGGGGTTGTTCTCGTCTCGTTTGTGGCCTCGCCCTCTCTGTGACGTGTTTTTTTGCCGGTGAATGCCCGGATGAGGTAGGGTTCGGAGCTGTGTCAGCGAGTAAGGAGATGCAGCTACGTTGGCGGCCGAAGTCGTGACAGAACACTGGACGGGTAAGGAACAGCGCGAGGAATAAAGGCGGGGGAGGGGGCGCGCGGAAGGTATGGCGTCTCTCCAGGTACGTGCCCGGTGCGTTCCTAGCTCAAAGCAGGCTGAGGCACCATAGGAACCAAGTGACTCCCCACCCCTCCTTTCTCCCCCCCCCCTCACCACAAGCCCACGAGTTCGGCCGCTTCACTCCCTCTCCGCGAGCTGACGCCGGATTGGCTGCGAACTGACAACGGGGCAGATTTCGCCCGTCGGCTGGTTTTCTATTAGTCAGAGCGGGAGCCCCTGAGCGGCGGCGACTGGCTGTTGACTGTGCGTGTCACTCAGCGCGTAAGGAGCGGCGGGGCGGGTCAGGATCTCCACCCCCCCCGAAGGAGCGAGGGAGACGCGTTGCTCTTCTCCTCTGTGGTCGTTGGGCGGGTGAGGAAAAGGGCAGAAATTGTAGATCTTTTCGGGAGAGGGTCGCTGTGTCTAAGCTCTTTCGCTCCCACCCCTCGGCCAGCGCCGCCCGGTGACACTTTTCGGCGTCTTCTCCGGATCTGCCCTTCTTCAGGACCTGCATAATCCGCCCTAGGTGTCTGCTAATGCTGAAGATTTCCGGCCGTTACCCCCGTGACTCGCCTCAGGGCCCAGGTCTGTTTTTCCTCCATTCGCCCTTAACCTCCGATAAAGCCGGTTTTCGTCTTTTCCCTGCTTCACAGTATCGTCAAAGCTGCTTATCTAGCGCTGGGGCGAGGCATCCTGCTAACCTCTGTTTATGTCGGCATGCTCTCCTGACAGGCTGCTCCCTTTTAAACCCATCCTGTATCGAGTGTGGGTGTTGGGTTTTTTTTTCACCTCGTCTTTTGCTTCCTTGGGGCTAACGAAATTTGGAAATAGCCCACGTAAACCAGCATTCTGTTTTCCACAGATGTTGGGTTGGTTTAAGAAGCAGTCCCTGGTTTACAGGTGCTCAACTACACTTTCCCACTCCTCTTGTTGAACAGTAGGAATTGAACAGTGTGGGTAGCGCCTCTGGTGCTGTAGGGTCTGTTTTGTAAAGTCATCATGGCTAGTAACCATTGCTTCTAACATTTTCCTGCATGAAAATGGCCAATTCAGTTTTGAGCCTGGTCAGATAGGTTATCAGCTTAATTGTATATCCTGTGAAGTAACTCTCATATGTGCGTATCAAATCTTAGGCGGCTTAAATTCCTTCCGGTATTGAAGCCTGCTTGCATGACTAATTTTGAATGTGGTTTCCTATGAGTAACATGCCAGAAAAGAGAAGCTTTTTTTTACAGTTAAGGGGACATGACTAGAAAAAACATATAGTATTTATGCTTTTTTATTATAGTTTTAAACTTTGACTTTATATTTTTAGAATCAAACACAGTAAGAACACCCTCATTTGTTGACATATTTTGCTCCGTTTATGTCTGAAGGCATATATGGTGTTTGTAACAGATACCAGAGCTATAACTTCCTTTTAAATTTCAAAAGCTAGAGATCTAGGTTTTGTTCCACAGAGCTCTTCCATCTTTTGCTCTGAAAGGTAGATTTCACTTTCATTGTTCATTATATGTGATTGGGTCAGAGAGCAACAAACATGGCTGCTCCTATCACATTTGATTGAATTGCAAGCATACCATTTTCATCATTCTTACTTGTATCTTCCAATCTCTTTATATTCCTCTCCCAAGTAAAAGGGAAATCAAATGGCATGTAAATTAGAATAGGCCTGTATTTTTCATGAGTATCTGCAGGGGGCACAAGGGGCAGATGAAGAAATGTACATGAAAATAGCATGCAAATGCTATTTATATACTTGCATCATCAGATGTTGGGACACAATATATTATAGTGGCATTTATTTGATAATATCATTGCATACATGTTGTCATTTTGGTGTCATTGCAGTTGTGTGGACACTAAGTCTAAAGTACCATTGTTTCTGATGCCTAATAATTGCTTTCTAGGACCAACTTGTTGATACTTAAAATCCTCATAACAATATTCTGTCATGCTGGGAAAATGAAAAGTGTTTTGCTGTCAGATGGTTGCTAAGATACACAAATATACTGCTGATGTCAGAAGTCTTATGTTTCCCCTGAGTCACTGAAACAATTTCAATTGCTTAGGAGGAAGAAGTGGCAGGTACAGTATTGTTCGATACTAAGTTGCTAGAAGGTGATTATGAGAAATGCTTATGATGCAAAATAGACATCAGCAAAAAACTAAATTAACCTGAATATTCACTTTTCCTTAAAGATCTTGACCTTTGTTGAGATACACTCAGCAACACTGTTTGAAAAACTATCAAGTAATTTCTAGAATATCCAGAAAAATATTCCTCACTGATAATTTTAATAATAAATCTTTAATATGTCATAAATCTATTACTTTTTTACTTTTGAAAGAAAAATTGTTACTTTTTAAAAAAGAATGCTTGAATTTCCTAAATGAATTTAGTGGAAGTTTTTTATGGTTGAAGAATCTATGTGACCCTGTAAGCATACTGAATGTGTCCTATAGATTTCATACAAAGAATAAGCTGAATATTTTGAAAATAGTGGAAAAGAAGTAGTGATATCTGTTAATTGTGTGGCTGTACTCAAAACCTATATTCTAATTATCCATCTTAAGATGGATGAACAATAGACCTATAATTATGGTCTGCCACAATAAAAGTTGGATTGAAAAATATTGATATTTCAGTTTTAAAACCAGCTTTTACATGCTTGTTTAAAAGTAGCAGTGTTTGTCAGGCTGGGGAGACGTGCTTCTGCTTTGAACCGATTACAAGCAAAAGTATTCACTGAAAACTCAGTATCATCTTTCTGGCAAAACCAATAAGAACAAAAATTCTAAACATGTATCTCTTATATAGGCTGAGTTAGCATTACTGTATAGTAGTGATTTTAAAGAAAAATGGCTCTCATGAAAAATCCTCAATTGTTTTATTTAGCATACTCATACTCCACCTTTCTTCTGCCATTGAATGAGTTTATCCACTTTTTATTGCCACCCCACTGGTTGCTTTTCATTTCTTAAAGTCTGTATAAACATGTTTAGCTTTTAGTATGTAGTTTATAGTAGCTATTTCAGCATCCTGTACATTTTAAAAAGTGCAGGGTTTTCTAAGATATACTTAAAAATGTCAGAGGTCATTCTTTTAACTTGCTGCTTGGAAATAATTAGAGCAAGCCGGGAAGAGTACCTGGCTCATTCTGATGTTTACTCAAGAGGGAATGAGTCTCTGTAGATCTGAGGTCACATGAATTAAACTTGCATCATTCACAGAAAATCTGTTTTGCTAGTATTACTTACATCTGTATTATTCTTCTGTATTATAACAATTTGGGATTGCTGTGTGAGAATCCAATACATTATGGGCTCTTCTGTTTGAATGCTACTGAACTGCACGTTGCCTACCTGTGTTAATTCTGAGCACGAAAACATAATGACAGGAGTATGGAAATTGGTTAATTTCTTGTAACTGGAAGACGTTGCCCAGTTAGATTCTTGAGCCAAGAATAGTTTTTCTGCTTGGCTGCTTTTCAGCAGCTATTTTCCATGCAAGAGAATATACATACACTGGCCAGTGAACAGTGTTAGATCTATACTTTATTTAAATAATAAATAGAAGAAATTCAACAAACACGCTAAAAGGATTCTTAAGAGTTTTCATAGATGCAGGTACATATGCGGGTGTTCTTGGCCAATATTAATCACTCAGGTGAAATGGACTGTAGAAATTTAACAAATACAGTTTTTGGGGAAATCACAATATTTGAATATGCAGTATTGCTGTTTTCAGTTTTGATTGATGCTACAAGAAATCTTTGTAGAGAATGAAACATAGTAATAACTCTTATTTTGGTATATCAATTTTATTCTTTTCTGTATGTACAGTATTTAATAGTTCTTTGATAAATGTACTTGAAAGGGGAGATGTCAGATACTTGAACTCTTTATTTTGTGACATCCAGAACTCAAGCAGTTTTTAACCAAAGATTATTATTTATTTATTTATTTGCTCAATTGTAGCAGTCCCTGAAGTGGTTATTTAAAGAGTGAACTTTAGAGAAATTATTTTAGTATGTCTTCTAGGTTTATAGGTTAGCATTTTTCTTTTAATGAACACCCACTATTATTGTTACTCCCTGATTACTTAGAATGAATCTCTTCAATGAATCAAGATAGTGATTATTCTTTTTGTTTTGCCCCAAACCTATTTTCAACTATGTTTCCTAAAATGTAACATATGTTCCTTTTGGTTTGTCAATTTCATGCTATTTTTTTAAAATACTTTCAAAAAAATAGTTTAAGAGACCCCATAGTAATATTTCTTCATTAATTACATTGACTAATATGCAAGGGAGTGGTAAGAAAAAGAAAGCACTATTTTATTTGAAATTTTTAGTTTAAGCCATGATTTTTTTGGATTTTAACCTAAGCAGTGTTAATATGACTTCTCTCTCATTCAGATTTTATTGTCATCATTTTCATTTTTAGGGTGTAATATTTAACTAATTGTGTTATTTCCAGACACTGTGATTGAGTTTATATTTTTTGCTAAGCCATAGCTTAATGAATGAATATTTTTCATATTTTTAGCTGTAATCCACAGTTGACCGATGACTTTATCTAGGCTCAAATAATATCCTGTGTTGTGGTTTGTTTGATTTTGTTCAGCACAGTATGCAAACCTATTTTTAGATGCTTTATTGAAAGCAAATTAATGTTGCACTACTTAACTGTATTATTTTGGAGTTTTTCTGTGTTACTGACTTGGTACTGACTTTTTTTTTAATTGCAAAGTCAAGTAAAGACCTTAGTGATAAAAGCAGAACTATAGTGATTTAGAAGCGCTGTCAGTAGTTTGTTTTTAATATGGTGCAAATTGCTTTAAATAGCACTTGGACTAAGAAGCACTGATATTATTACAGTAATAGGGAGGTAAGATTTTTCAAGTCCAAAGCTTCCACTGAACAATTAGAACTTTCCCTGATATCTGTTTACCTGCAAAGTTTCTGTGTCCTCTCAAAGAAAGATTTGTGTTCTAGTTCAGGGAGTTTATGTTGGTTTGCTTAGACCATGTACAGTGTATGGTTGGAAGGAAAATGGCAAAACACAAACAGTAGTTCATTCATTATTTCTTTTCATTGTTTATCTGAAGGCTATTTAATTACACTGAGTTCAAAAACTACTGTACTGTTTTTTGTTACAGTTTCAACTTTCCTTTTTTGCTTGTTTGGGGGGAGGGGCTTGGACATTTCTCTATTGTACATGACACTGTTCAGTCATGTACAATAGAGTATCTAGTGTTTGTCCTTCATTGCTTGAATAAAAAATATGGGTCACAGAACTGAAAAGTGCTAGATTTTCTGTCTGAAGGGGAAATGGCTGATGGTTATCAGAAATCACTGTTCTTTTTTAGCTGATAGCTTTACATGTGAGATCTGAGGAAGTCTGTAATTCTCTGAAAATTTAAGGTGAATCTAATTTATTTTTGTTTATGTTAAAAATAGAAAGAATATTTAGGAAAACAAATAATAGTGTTACAGTGTAAGATCTGTTTTGTTTTTTTTTATTCCACTGCTAGTATTCATTTAGCGAACCTTGGGATTTGCACAATTCTGTGGCAAGAAGCAATTAGCAATGTACTAATTATTTGACTGATTTACTTTACAAGCTGGTCTAAGAATATGATTGAAGGGCAGTGGAACAATTATAATAAATTAAAAGGACGAGTTGCTGCTTAATATGATTGGAAATGAGATTAGTGTGAGATATCTATGGACCCTCCTCCCAAAGATCCATAATTTAAAAGTTTCTCCAGTTGATACATGTCTTGTAAAAGGAAATTTTTGGTTCTAATTTTTGAAAAACTAATAGGAACCTGATTGAAACTGGGGAAATAATTGATGCCCCTCTTTGGATATTGTGACTCTGATTTAATTCTTTCAGATATTCATATGCATGCATCCAAAAGATTTTGTTTTAATTTGGCTGAAGATGAAAAAAAATAATAATACTTCTGACCTTCATTAAAAAAAGTTGGATTTGCTGGTTAGTTATTTCTGGAAATGGAAACTAGTACAACTATATTCATGTGAGGCCAGGAATAGAAGATGTGCCTTGTAGCTTTCAAAAACTGACCAGAGAGTTTCTGTGTCCTCTCAAAGAAAGATTTGTGTTCTAGTTCAGGGAGTTTATGTTGGTTTGCTGAGACCATGTACAGTGCATGGCTGGAAGGAAAATGGCAATGCTTTTATTAACTAAATAATAAAATAACAAAATATTAACTAAATAATGTGTCCCTAATTTTTATAGGTAATTCTTAACATGGATTGTGAAGAAATCCCAGAGTTTTCAACTTCAGAGGAAGAAGCTGCATACTGGAAAGAGCTGACTTTAAAATATAAACAAAGGTATAGTTCTGATACTGGGTTATTATGAGTTTTATTCTGATATATGACTGCATTAACAATGTTCTCTTTGTGATCCAGAAGCCTGCAGATGGAAGCTAAGTATCTCAAAAATAGCATTATATTGAATTGACTAGACTTAATTCTCTAGGATACATGAATAGAATCTCTATTGGAAGTGACCTTGCCCTATATGGAATCTCTTTTTGCAAACAGTGGGGCCCTTATCACTTCAGAAACACTGCTAATTCAGACTCTTGTGACACTTGTCTATTTTACTGGATACAGTGGGGCAAAAAAGTATTTAGTCAGCCACCAATTGTGCAAGTTCTCCCACTTAAAAAGATGAGAGAGTCCTGTAATTGTCATCATAGGTAGACCTCAACTATGAGAGACAAAATGAGAAAACAAATCCAGACAATCACATTGTTTGATTTGGAAATAATTTATTTGCAAATTATGGTGGAAAATAAGTATATGGTCAATATCAAAAGTTCATCTCAATACTTTGTTATATATTCTTTGTTGGCAATGACAGAGGTCAAACGTTTTCTGTAAGTCTTCACAAGGTTGGCACACACTGTTGCTGGTATGTTGGCCCATTCCTCCATGCAGATCTCCTCTAGAGCAGTGATGTTTTGGGCTGTCGCTGGGCAACACGGACTTTCAACTCCCTCCAAAAGTTTTCTATGGGGTTGAGATCTGGAGACTGGCTAGGCCACTCCAGGACCTTGAAATGCTTCTTACGAAGCCACTCCTTCGTTGCCTGGGCGGTATATTTGGGATCATTGTCATGCTGAAAGACCCAGCCACATTTCATCTTCAATGGCCTTGCTGATGGAAGGAGGTTTGCACTCAAAATCTCACAATACATGGCCCCATTCATTCTTTCCTGTACATAGATTAGTTGTCCTGGTCCCTTTGCAGAGAAACAGCCCCAAAGCATGATGTTGCCACCCCCATGCTTCACAGTAGGTATGGTGTTCTTTGGATGCAACTCAGCATTCTCTCTCCTCCAAACACGACGAGTTGTGTTTCTACCAAACAGTTCTACTTTGGTTTCATCTGACCATATGACATTCTCCCAATCCTCTTCTGGATCATCCAAATGCTCTCTAGCAAACTTCAGATGGGCCCGGACATGTACTGGCTTAAGCAGGAGGACACGTCTGGCACTGCAGGATCTGAGTCCCTGGCGGCGTAGTGTGTTACTGATGGTTGCCTTTGTTACATTGGTCCCAGCTCTCTGCAGGTCATTCACTAGGTCCCCCCGTGTGGTTCTGGGATTTTTGCTCACCGTTCTTGTGATCATGTTGACCCCACGGGGTGAGATCTTGCGTGGAGCCCCAGATCGAGAGATTATCAGTGGTCTTGTATGTCTTCCATTTTCTAATTATTGCTCCCACAGTTGATTTCTTCACACCAAGCTGCTTGCCTATTGCAGATTCAGTCTTCCCAGCCTGGTGCAGGTCTACAATTTTGTTTCTGGTGTCCTTCGACAGCTCTTTGGTCTTCACCATAGTGGAGTTTGGAGTGTGACTGTTTGAGGTTGTGGACAGGTGTCTTTTATACTGATAACAAGTTCAAACAGGTGCCATTAATACAGGTAATGAGTGGAGGACAGAGGAGCCTCTTAAAGAAGAAGTTACAGGTCTGTGAGAGCCAGAAATCTTGCTTGTTTGTAGGTGACCACATACTTATTTTCCACCATAATTTGCAAATAAATTCTTTCCAAATCAGACAATGTGATTGTCTGGATTTGTTTTCTCATTTTGTCTCTCATAGTTGAGGTCTACCTATGATGACAATTACAGGCCTCTCTCATCTTTTTAAGTGGGAGAACTTGCACAATTGGTGGCTGACTAAATACTTTTTTGCCCCACTGTATATTCTTTTCTAAAAGTTATGCTTTTATTGAAGTATGGTTTTACTTCCAAGGCTATCTAATTTTGATAAACTCATTCTTAGGTAGTTGAGAGACTTTGCCTCTGTCTTAAAGGCAGCTGGGAGAATCAGCATTATAAAACACTCCATGTCTATCTTCTAGTATAGATTTCCACTAAATAGCCAAGGTGGGTTCATCTCCAACCACTCTTGGAGACATCTGCTTGGATTTAATTTGTTCAGAATTATCTCTTTTAACATGACTTTACAAAATTTCACTAGTGTCAGCCTCTTAGATAAATGGCAAAGGACTTTCAAAAGAACTAATTTTACATTGTATATATGAAAAGTTATATATGTAAAGTTCTGATCAGCTTTAATAAAAATTGTTGCAATTGATAGAGAAATGCAGTGCTTACTAATATTTTGACAAGTAGAGATATGTAGCTATTTGAATTCAAAGTCTAATAGATACTTCAGAGGAAAGTGGATGCATTGGCAGCATCTGTTGGTACTGCCATAAAGAACTATGCCTTTTCCTGGCTTGCCAGCAGCCTTGAAAATGTGCACTAGAGTTAAAGATACAGTATGCCAATAGAATGTGACACGGTCATTATACCCTCTCACTATTGTCTTTATTCCCTTGCAAGTTGGGAAAAAGATGCACCTTCATTAAGAAGATGCCAATATGTGTAGTGTGGGTGCTCATGTCCCCTCAAAAATAATTCTTCTGCTTTAGAACTAAATGGCCTCATATCTCTAATAAAAGCATTTTCCTGGAAAAAAAAATCTCTACTCACTACTATTATTCCTGTTATAGTTTTCAAGAAGCCCATGAAGAGCTGGCAGAATTTCAGGAAGGCAGCAGAGAATTGGAAGCAGAATTAGAGGCCCAACTGGTACAGGCTGAACAAAGAAACCGAGATTTACAAGCAGACAACCAAAGATTAAAACAGGAAGTGGAAACCTTAAAGGTATGGCTTGGGAAGGAAAAATGTCTTCTGCTGTAGAACAATTTTTGCTGTAGAACAGAGCACTTAGATTGTATATCTAAGTGCATTTCACTCTTGTTTTAGGATTTTTGCAGTCTTTGATTGATAAAATTGGAAGTTGTCTAATTTCAGTCCAAACAGGGTTGTTGAAGAAGTGACATTTCCTAGGTTGTGTTTTGTAATCTTAAGAGGTCCAGTTAACGGTTTCCTCTTCAGTTCAACTGTTGTTAACCTGAATATTTCATGCTAAGTCCAACAATTGTTTATAGCCTGAATCTTCCAGAGCAAATTTTTTCTATGAGTTCTAAAGCATAGCTATATTTGGACAGTAGCATAGAAATGTATTTAAACTACTTGGATTAATTTCAGTGGTATAGAATTGTTCATATCCTATATTTTCAGGAAAAACTTGAACACCAGTATGCACAAAATTATAAGCAAGTGTCTTTATTGGAAGATGACTTGAGCCAGACTCGGGCAATTAAAGATCAATTGCATAAATATGTGAGAGAGCTAGAACAAGCCAATGATGATCTTGAGCGTGCTAAAAGGTAAGGAATGTTGGTGGTTGCCAGTTATCTGACTGAAGAAAGCATTTATTGCTCAGGATTTTATTTCTTTAGTGCTATAAACAGTTACTTAATATTGATGCAGTTCTGTAACTACAACAATTATAGGGTTTGTCAGATTCCAGAAACCACTTTCATTTGTTATATTTTCTGCTGAATTAATGTTAAAAAAGTAAGCATCACATTTTCATTATACAAATTCTCCTACATAGTTTTTATTTAACAAAGCTTAATAATTGAGTAGACAGCAATGATTATGGGCGATATTAGAGTACTTTCTCCTAACTAATATTCAGAACATTTTTAAGAAAACTAGTCAATTGGTTTAGTCTTCTAAACTATGGGAGCAGATTTTATATCATACATAGTAAGGTATAACTTTGACTACTTTATTATCTAAAATAGCATCTCGCAAGTAGGTATGTGTGTACGTATTTGATATATAGATATTAAGAATAAGATTAAGATAATGGCTTGAAACAATTTTTGAATTCACTGTATACTTATTACAGGCTTAGAGATCTGCCATCTTGTTCTGCATTATCTTTATCTACCCAGCTAGATCCTGGGATGACTTACGTTTTGTTTAATAATTTTCTGTATTGACAGATATTGAATCCTCTGTTTCTTTATCTCCCATAGCTAAATGTCTACCAAAGAGTTTTTTTCTTCTGATTTTTTTTTTAATTTCTAGGGCCACAATTGTTTCTTTAGAAGATTTTGAACAAAGGCTGAATCAAGCCATAGAGAGAAATGCTTTTTTGGAAAGTGAACTGGATGACAAGGAATCTCTGCTAGTTTCTGTACAAAGACTGAAAGATGAAGCCAGAGGTACTACTTAATATATAGCTTCTGATTAATGTTGTAATAATGGTGAACTCTGATTTTCTAGGTTATAAGAACATTGCAAGATAATTTCTAGTTTTGAAGCACAGCTTAAGTTCATATAATGTATTCATATTTTATGCCTATTTCATGAACTGTGTCAAACAAGCATATATCTCATTGACAAGAAGCATATTCATTTAGGCTTATTTGACATCAGATCATGGGATCAGTCCATCCTTATCCCTGCTTAGGTTGTGAAATCAAGTCAAGCAACTCCAAGGCCTCCAATTTGGTCTTGTTGACCTTTTGTAAGGCATAGGAGTGTCTCAGGAATGAGCAGAATAGTAGAATGCATGGACTGGGAAAAGAAGAAGGATTTTTATACTCATAGCTAAAATACTCAAATTTTCCAATTTTTTTCTTAAAATTCACAGATTTAAGGCAAGAACTAGCAGTACGAGAAAGACAACAAGAAGTAACTAGGAAATCTGCTCCTAGCTCCCCTACCTTGGATTGTGAAAAGATGGATTCAGCAGTCCAAGCTTCACTGTCATTGCCAGCAACACCTGTTGGGAAAAGCTGTGAAAACAGCTTTCCCTCTCCAAAAGGTAGAACATATACATGTATATTTTCTGAAATACTGAATGCTTATATTACAAGTTGAAATTGAGCCAGATTTAATTATTTATATCCCCATATATAGCTGTTTTTTGTTCTCAAAACATTGGGTCAGAGAACATTTGAGTAACATAAGGAAACAAATCCATTTTATCTATAACATTTTTCCCTTTGTCTTCTTCAGCTATAAAATCTGACTTATCTAACAGCAATGTGGGTTAGGAGTTTAGAACACTTAACAGTAAGAATTTGATGACAAAAAAGCCGAGAGATGCCCACCCTTAAAAGGTGGCAAATTGCAATCATGTGGCCACAGGACGCTGCAAATGGTCCTGAATATGAGCCAGTTGCTAAGTCCCCAAATTGCGATCACATGAACACAAGGGTAATTTCACAGTCATAAGTGCGAGTACTGGTTGTAAGTAACTTTTTAACCAAGGCCCTTGTAACTTTGAACTGTCATTAAATGTACAATCATAAGTCAAGGACTACCTGTGTTTTTACCCTTGAATTACACTGGGTAATATGCATGTTCAAGCTTAGAGGAAGGTGTGGGAAGTGATTTTTTTTGGAAATAAGATTTTATATAAATCAGTGTTGTATATAGAATTGTTTCATACCTGACCATCATGATAACTTCAGACAAAATATATTGCTGCAGTACTTATTCATTGAAATACAAAGGATCCTGGTATGGGGTTGCTCTTTGTTCCTTTTGCTGTTGTTGTTTTAATGCTTGAGTTTTGGACATTGTAATTATGTGACTATTCTGTTGTTTTTGTGGGCTCATTGCAGCTATTCCCAATGGCTTTGGTACCAGCCCCCTTACTCCATCTGCCCGAATATCAGCTCTCAACATTGTAGGTGATCTTCTAAGGAAAGTGGGGGTAAGAACTATGCTCTGCATCATACTATCTTGCTATGGCTGTTTCTAGATGCTGACTATGTGACATACAGAGCAATTCCTCACATGCATTGAAATCAGTTGAAACACTAGTGGATTTATTTCATCACTGTAAACAAATGTTTCTGTACTATTATACTAAGGAGAAATGAACTCACTGGGGCTTATTTTAGAGAAATTTAGAATTGTGCTATTTGCATAGATTGAATGACTACATGGAGCGGAAAATTTGTATATACAAAGGAGGAAGGGATTATATATGTTTATTGGAAAGAACTGGCCTGGGAACCAAGCATGTACTGCTAGATCAATAGCTGTGTGGTTTCGTGTAGGGAGAAATGACAATAAAATCTAGCATAGTATGATTAATATTATTTATAGGGTTCAGCATCTTAAATCTTAGCTTTTACTAATTCTTTTTAAAATAGTTCATGGCTGTGTTAAAAGGTGAACAATAGGTACATATTGTATGAAATTTTACAAATGTTATATCTTACGATCAATAAAGAGAGGTGCATATATTTTCAACACTCCACTCCCAATTCCTGCACTGCAAATACTTGTACAATACAACTTTATTAGCTATTATAATTTTTTTTTTGTTTTCTTAAAGTATACAAATTGCAGTTTCCCACTACTAAAGATGTTGATGGATAGTAAATAACTGGTTGCTGTTTAGAGAATTTCTCTGTAGAAGAATATTTTAAAGCCAGTTTCAATTAATGAGCATATTTTTAAACTGGGTTCTTAACTAAAAATTTATGTTAAGAGCACTTGTATTTAATTTGCCCCAAGTGATTCTTTGTACTTTTCATTGTGATATGGCTCCTGATGATTCTACTGCCTCTAATCTTTCACCCAGACTGATAATAGATTCTGTTCTTTTCATTCCTTCTCAGGCTTTAGAATCCAAATTAGCTGCTTGTAGGAACTTCGCAAAGGACCAGGCGTCACGTAAATCATATGTTGCAGGAAACATAAATAGCAGTATGATCAACAGCAATGGCATGAAGTTCTGTCATCCAGGACATACAACATTTTATGACAAGGCGTAAGTTTCATTTTTACATGAAGTTTTAGAGAGTTGCTTTGCATACGTTTTCCCACTTTGATTCATAAACATCTTTATTTTTTTTTTATTTTTTTTTGTTCAAACAAATTTTGACTCATATAGTGACTAGTCTCTTCAGTTTTCCTAGCAAGATTTACACACATGGTTTGCAATTGCCTCCTTAGGACTGAGAGTGAATGACTGGGCCAAGATCACCCAGTTAGCTTTGGGCCTAAAACAGGACTACAACTTATGGTCTCCCGGTTTTTAGCCTGATGCCTTACCTACTGCACCAAACTGGCTCTCTATCTTTTTTTTGGCATAGGCTCAAACTTAGCTTGTTATACCTTTTCCTTATGAATGAAAAATGGGAATTTGTACATCTTCCACTTGACAGCATTGCAAGAAAGATGACAAGACAGCCCAAAGCAACTTTATATTTTGACTTTGAACATTTTTACGAATAGGAGAAATGTTCCTAACAATAAGAGTTATCTCCTATCAAAAGAAATCAGAATTACTATACTTTACATTTGGCTTCCAAATATAAGTAATAGTTAAAAGTGAATAACCCTGAAGTCTTCAACTGCCATTCATTAAAATTGTAGAATACTATTTTCATCTTTCCAAAAAATGTACTATTAGACACAAGGCTTAAAAGGTTCTGTGGCTGTGCCACTTTCCTTATTTGAATTGATGGTTTCCTGTATTTCTTTTTTTTATTCTTACTTCAGAATCAGTATTTCTGAAAGAGCTTATTGAAAAATAAATTAGCTTTGGATGATTCCTAATTATAATCATCCAAATAATTAAATATATTACAGAAGTAATATAAATTAGAGTGCAATCTGAACCTTTGCAATTACTTGCAAATAGTGAGCAATGCAAGTACTGTTTAAAGATTGACCCTCACAGAGTACATAAAAGCAGTAACTTTGGCATGAATACCTATCTAGGGCTGATGAATAATAAATCCATATTAAAAATTGAGTTCTTCAAAATATTATGAAGAAATTGGAGAGAAGTCTCTGTAGGCTCCTTTTATGCCTACCCAAATGTCTGTGCAACTTGCAGAATAAGGATACGTCTTAGCTATTTGCACATGGGCAGGATAGCAATGATTTATTCATATGATTACTGTTGAAGTCAATACCAATTCCAGCAATTCAAACTAGCAAAGTTTCCAATTTTGAATTTTGAAGCACACTTTTTAATAACTAAAAGTTTTTTTTCCCTTGAACCATGATATATCAATATAAGTGAATTATAAGCTAGGAAACTCTCATTCTTATCAGTGACTCCTAAAATCTGTTTGATTTTTTTTCATCAAAATTAATCAAGGGACAATAGATGCATCAGAAGCATTCAAAACATAGATGTATTTCATATTGCTCCTTTGCTACAGCCTTTTTATTTAATCATCCTTTCCCTTCATTCTGCATAAATATCTATTTATTGTCATGACCCTTATGCTTTCAACAATGTTGGTTAGTCTGGTTTCTTCCAGATCTCACTCTGTCCCCTTTTGAAAACTTGTCTCCCTTAACTTGGAGCCTACACTTCTGCAACCAGTAAACATCTTTCAGTCTGTCAGTAATCAGTCCTTTTTCTTATTTACTCTTGATGTAGCATACAAAAACTTTGTGTTTATCAATGGCATAAATTTAGAGTAAAAAAATGTACATTGCACTAAAAAATTACGGTTTTCACTAAACAATAGTTCAGACCTCACATAGTAAGCAGAGATTATTTAAATACATTTAAAATTAAAATAGCAGCAACTAAGTATTGTAAACATCTTGCTATTTAAGTGATCCGGAAGCATCAACACCCATTTTCTCTGCACTGCTTCTGCTTTTTAGTTAGTGTTGTTGACATGTCAAGGTATTGTGTATCGTGTAGCTCTTCCTGTGCTGCTTCCACTTAACTTCCTCTCTATCTGCTGTCTCCACTCCCAGCCCAGAATCTGTACTTAAATTTGAGCATCCAAATATGAACGGGTGAAAATCACTGCCTAGGGCTGAACTTCTTACAACATGGAAAGTGAGCTGAGGCACACCCGTTCTTCTCCTCCTTCCTTTTCTTTCTTTCTCTCTATAGCCCCTGTAGTGTTCTCCCTGCCCCCAATTGTCGCTGGATCCTGAATCAGCCACGTTTGCTTGTGGACCCGACCCAATCTGCTGCTGCTGCTGCCTTATGAATGGCCTATAGTTGGGTGGTGGGACTGACTGAGGTAATTTGCTCATTGCTGTACTGCAGCCTTTGCTGCTATTGTGTTATTTGCTTTGAATTCTCTGTTGGCTTTCTGTGGAGTTACATGTTAGCTAATTCAGCATGATAAGACGTATACTAAGCTGATGTCAGATTTACAAGCAGAATACATCGCTTGCATAGAAAGTTTATTGAAGATGATGTCAGAGCTGTAGAGGCTTTGGAACTAAGAAAATTGTGGAGGAATTTAAGGTACACATTTGAATTAATGGATGGTAGCTGAGTCACAATGAACTTGCTTTTTAGACTTTGTTGTGAAAAAAATAAAATTGGGTGTTTGCTTTGGTCTTAACCCAAGACAGAATTGTTATCTTCTAATAGCTTGGCATTATTGTACCAGTTACTTATATTCCAAACAATTATCTTGATAACTTCATTTAACTGTTGCTGAAAATTCATTTGAATAGGCCTTCTCCAAAGAATTAACTAGGGATATATAAATGTACACAGATGTAAGCAAAAACAGCTTACACTGAATGGCACAACCAACTAGCTGGCATTGTTTACAGGAACATCTGCACAATGTATGGTGCTCTAAGTGCAAGAGCATGGAAAATAAGAGAGTTAAGATCCTGTGGGACTTCCAGATCCAGACAGGTAGGCAGGTACTAGCCCGTCAGACATTGTGGTAATTGACAAGTAGGAGAAGACAGTGGTGGTGATAGATGGAATGGTGCTAAGTGACAGCCACATCAAGAAGGAGGAATGTGAAAAACTGGAGAAACACCATGCTCAAACAGATCCCAGGAACAATGTCAGAGCTCTCTGTCCAGAAGACTCTGCAGTGTTAGGAACAGCTAAGATATTGCAGAACCCTCAAACATCGAGGTGTCTGTAGAGGACATGAGCTTGAACACTCCATTCATGAACATCTATAGCAGGGGTAGTCAACCTTGGCTCTTTTATGACTCGTGGACTTCAATTCCCAGAATTCCTGAGCCAGCTTAGCTGGCTCAGGAATTCTGGGAGTTGAAGTCCACGAGTCATAAAAGAGCCAAGGTTGACTACACCTGATCTATAGGCACAACTGCTATACACTATCAGCAAAAATTCTTTCTCTGTTCTCAAAGTAAAAGGCAGACATATAGATGATGAATGTGCCTGAATATAGACAACTCTAAGAATTCCATGTTAGAATATGGAAAGCAAGTCCTCCTTTCATGACTGAAAAACTGGGTTCTAAAACAAAACTTCCTGGGCATTTGTGAAATGAAATTCATTTCCAACTTCCAGCAGTCATGTTTTGGACAAAAAGTATATATTAAAGTATTTTTCTATCTCTCCCATATGTTTAGGTCAGATTCCCTACGTATCTCATGGGTAATTGTGCCTGGTTTGGTGTGATGAGGTTGTCTTCGTGCTTGGAGATTATGTTTATGTGTATTGTCCATAATGGATTTGGAATTGACATTATTAGTCTAATAGCCTCTCTTTGAATTTAATTTTCTAATATTTATGAGTTTCAGTAATAAGTTGTACTTTTCTCTTGATCCTTTCTATGCATGTTACTTGAATGGAACACATGGTATACATTGGATTGAACTGTTTTGGGAGCCATAACAATCTGCTCCTTTTCTTCAAAAGGGAAAGTGGAAATTCTGTTGCAAAATAAATTCTTATTACACATTTTAACCTTGAAAAATGCACATCCTATAAATTCATATAATTCATATAAATTGGTGCTTAAGCTTGACAAATGTTATATAAATTTTATATAGAATTCAGGAATTGAATAATGAAAGACTGATTCATTGGTTTTTAATTATAGTCTTGTTTTCTCTTCTGCCCCCTTGAAATAAGACAAAAATGAAATTTAAAACAAATACCAAGGATTTTATGATAAAATATTTTATTACTTGATCTGAAACCATCTATTTTATACAATCAGCACTACTAAAGCAATATTTCAAAAAATCCAGTACTACAAGTAAAAGTGACTGAACACTGTCCATATTACAAAGAATAATCTCTTTTACAAGCTGATTCAAAACTGTCTTCAAAAGACAATGTTAGTTGAAGGCCCAGCCATGAATAAGATTATTATTTTATAGTGGCATTGAATTGCTTAGTTACTATCATTTATTTATTCATTCAATTTAAGCACAACCCAACTCCAGACTAACACTGGGCAAGTTGCAATAAAATTAAGCAGACTGAATGTATAAGATAAATACAGAAAAAAAAATTACAAAGAAAAATAAAGAACAAAATGGCAAGTCCAGCCAACAGTATCCATGCATACAAACATCTGACAGGGCCCCAGCTGCTCTAACTCAAGGCCTGGGAGAACAAGTAGGTCTTTAGGGCATTCTGGAATGCCATTAGTATAGAGCCGCATGGATCTCCAGCAGAATTTCACTTCAGAGGGCAGATTCTACAACAGAGAAGGGCATGCTTCCTGGGTCCCAATATGTAACACTGTTTAATTGAAGGGATCTGAATCTTGCCAGCCTTATCAGCTCTCATCAGCCATAGAAGATAGGCAGTCCCTCAAGTAAAACAGACCCTAGATCAGTGGTTCTCAACCTGTGGGTCGGGACCCCATTTGGGGTCGAATGACCATTTCACGGGGGTCATCAAACAATGCAGTCTGCCATTTTTCCCCCCTTTTCCTTAGCTGTGCTACTCCCTTTTATTCTATTGGCTTTTGGAAGCCAATAGAATAGACTCTCTTGAATAGAGTCTAATTCTTTCAAAAGCCAATAGGAATTGTCCAGGTTGTCTCTGCCCTGCTGAGCCTGCCAAAAGTCCCATTCTGCAAACAGTGCTGTACCAGTTGAGTGGTCCTCGACTTACGACCGGTTGGGGGTCGCGGCATTAAAAAGGTTGAGAATCACTGCCCTAGACCATGTAGGGCTTTATAGATCATAACAGCAGCTTGAATCACTCCCACAAGCATACTGGTACAGTTTGTGGAACAGGAGTGGCACATGGCCATACTGAGGCATGTTCTTCACTGCCCACTCCACTGCATTCTGGAGCAGTTGGAGCTTCCAAGTGACCTTCAAGGGCAGCCCCATGTAGACACAGAATTGTCATAGTCAAGCTGCAAATTAACTAGGGCCTAAGTAAGTGTCAGGCATGTGGGAAGCTCATGTAACTGATTATTGGGCACTTAAGTAAAATGAAACATTTGTTCTTTGCCTTTGCATGTTTTGCTTGTTTCTTGATATAATCTGTACATTTCCTAACATACGTTGCTTTGTCACTAGTTGCAAAAGATGTAGTGATCTAAACAAACTTTTGAGAGTTTTATAACTGCTTGCAGCACAATTTTTTTTTATAGGTTACTAAATTATAAAAGAGTATAAGGCGTGACCAGATCAACTTTAAAACATTTCATTCATTCTAGAAGAAAATAATTCAAAAGGATTCCTTTTCAGTTTTCCCCAAAATGACATAAATTCCACTGAATAAATTGGAGATCTGGGGGACCATTTGTTCTGTCTTCTTTCTGATACCATACCTTGTGTTACTAGCAGTCTTTATTAGTACTATTGCCTTCCATGAGTTGATTGGTATGGAATCTACAGTGTAGGTGTTTTCAGTTGCAGTTTTTTATTTGTACTTTTCTTTCCTTTTTTGTTTGTGTTTCGGTTCTTGACAATTTGTATTGCTTAACAGTGTGGTTTTCGCATTGTTTAATAGTAAGAATAGGTCTTTTTATTTTTCTCAGGGTAGCTTTAAGGTACCAGCAAGATAGAAAAAAAAATCTCCAAGGTTTGTGTCACTATCATTTAGCTTATTCTAGAAAAACCCAGCTGCTCTTGGATTTCATTATTATGTTTGCTTAGATTTGATGACTTATACAGTAGCTGGTGAATCAGAGCTGATGAATTGTACAACTGATAATGCAGGCTAACAGTTTTGATTCTACTCCAACAATACCTTATGAATTTCCTTACTTGAGATATAGCTTATAACTGAAATCTTGATGAGAATAGATAGGGTCCAGTTAATGTAATGTTACTGGGAAAATGTTTTTTGTCAGAATTTCATTTCAGTGATACACTTATATTTTTGTTATGTAATTGGGCAACGCATTTTAAGATTTTAAATCAATCTTAAACCTAAAAATAATACCAGATATAAAAGAATTGCACAAACTATTAGTTGTTTGGACTACGTCAGACTGAGATCCTGGAACTTAATAGTATAATCATGCTGGAACTTTGGAATCCATTTTCTAGACAAAAATCTCACATCTTTGTTTCTGTTTTTGAAAATATAGTATAAAAATTAGTTATTCTGAAAAGAGAAAATAAAAAGTTAGACAAAAGGCTGTTTATGCTGATTTGTTTGAAATATATAAGAGTTAGAGAATATAATATACTTTTTCATAACACTACAATTTTTTTTGAAAGGTCTCAATTCATCTTCCTTAGCATAGCTTGCTTCAACTGTATATATGCAAACTGGTTTTTGCATCAAGTAAACATTTTACTTATTCTGCAATCCTTCAGTTATAGCTTTTATCTACAACTCTGTAAATGGTTGATTATGAGCATCTTACAGTAGTATCCTGATAGTCTTTTTAAATAATGTTTTTATATTGTCAGCCAGAATTGCAGTAAAAGAGGTTGTCACATTCACAGGTAGGCTAGCTTTGGGACATGTAGCAGTCACTATGTCAAGTTTGTGTGTCATCATTATCAAATTGAATCTTGATAAAGCAATGGCAACAGAAGCTGGTTTGGCTACTAGGAGGCCAAGATTTCTAAGGAAGATGCTAAACATACTAAAGCAAGTTAGAATATTTGGGTTGTGACTGGATGACCAGGCAGCAATATTTCTTGATGAGCCAAGTGTTTATGTATTTCACATGTTCACAATAAAGCAGCCCCAAATATTAACATCTTTTTTTAAAACGGCTTTTTTATTTGTGTGGAGCATTATTCTTTACTGTTGTTCTCTCTCTAGACAACTTGCAGTATATGGATGGTTTTGTTGCTTGACTTTTGGAAGTTAATCAATTTTCCTTGCTGTCATTATAGGACTGACATAATCCTGTTAGAGAGGAGGTGTAATTTGTCAATGCTACTTGTTAACCACTTTTTTTATTGTCTTGTAGGGCAGTCAACGGGTTTGACCAAGGCCCGCCACCAGGTCTAGGAGCATCCAGACCATCATCTGCACCTGGCATGCTCCCTCTGAGCGTATGAATGGATTGCAAAGCTATGATGGGACTTGGGTTTGGTTCTTGAAGGAATAAGAAAAAAGCTGCTTGTGATAGTTTTCTGTTGGCACCCCCTCCTGGAGCTGAGTGGGTGTTGCAGAATGCAGAAACTGCCCAGAAAACCAAGCACATATAGAGCACTCCTTGTTAATACAGTCTATTTTCTTCTATTTCCATCATGGACATTCTTAAAATGGTCACCACTGATGTCTCTCTCACAGATTGCAGGAGTTGCACTTGCCCAAACCACTTCCTTTTTTCCATCTCCTCTGTTTTGTGTGTTGGCTAGCTAGGGACTGCTTTGATGCTGGGTATCCTACATCTTTCACATTGTACACAAGACCCCTGGGCTCTCCCCCCACTTTTATTTTCAGTATAAATCAATTCATTTTCAAGGGAAGGTTTCGAAACCTTCTGGCCAGTGGATGGATTTGGAACGAATTTTTAACAGGTTTCTATGAGGGGTCTTTGTACCTAGCAGCACCCTGCAAAATATTTGGGTTGTGGTCATGAAGAATATATGTGGCATCTCCCTATGGAGCATAATACATTATGCAAATATGCCAAAGTTGCTCTTTTCTAAAATGGAGACATACCCTCAGTTCAGCAATTCCTTGGCAGTCAGCTTTATCCTATTAAGTTGGCTTTCCCTATTTTTATTTCAAGAAAACTGTGGATTGGACTTTAGTTGTTTGGTGACAATTGCCCAAAAGCAAAGGAAGGAGAAAGGAATCAAAGCCAAGAAAGACTAGGGGCACATTGCTGCTCATAGCTTGAATTTTGTCATCCCTTTCCTGTGTCCCCTTTGCTGCGTTAATTGTTTACATTTGTTTTATTGTACATAGATTTGTAAACATATTTGCCTAAGATATTTGTATATAACTTGGGCTTTCTAACTTTATTTATTAAGACTTCTGAGGCATGTTTCCCCTAGGACAGTATGTCAACTTTATGTGGTGACTGCCATCCTGTGGTTTCACAAGAGAGATGGTCCTAAAATAAAGATCTTTTAATGTGGACATATTTGCTTTTCAGAAAAAATGCTTCTCCTTTGCTTTGTTTATGGTCTTGTACTTCGATTCTTGAAATTTTGCTTTGTAACTGCACATACACAAAAACCTAATTTGTATCATTATCCTGATGAACAAATCGTGGGGCACTGGATATCCACATTTTTTGTTGTTGTTGATACATGCGTTTCACAATATAAAAAAGAAATGAAAAGTTTTCTCCTGATACGTCTGGCTGCAAGTTGAAAACAAATGTGGAAGTGATTGTGCCAGCTGAATAGGCAGAAAAAAGCTGCATCATACTTGCCAGGTTGAGAATAAAACTGGTTGGTGGGGAAAAGAACTTAATTGTCCTTAACCGTAAGTAGTGAGCTGCAGTTTTAGAGCTAATATTTGGGCTTCATGTTTTTGGCACTTACATTACCTCTGCTGTATTAAGTAGAAAATCCAAAACTTTTCCCCATTAATGACCATCAGCCCAGTAGTGATTTGAATCCACCATAACAATCAAGGAGGTTTCAGCATTTCTTTTCTGTTCATGAAGATAAACAGACTTAATGTGAACTGTCTTTCTGCTTTCTGGAACATGGATTTGAAAGGAAAAGGTTATCTTTCCTTTTAAGGAAACCCCTCCCACTCATCCCTGGTTGCCTTTGGTTAAGTATGGTTCAACTCCTTTTATTTATGTTAGTAGTAAACTTAACAACTGGTAAGACATGTGGAAACAGGAGAACAATGTACATAACACTACCTTGTATCTTGATCATTTAGATATAATTTATAATTTAGAGAATATGTAAATATTCTTTTATTTATTTCCCCTCCCAAATATGATGGGTGTGTTGTGTCCATCTTCTAGTGACCAAAAAGGTGTTTCATATAAGTCCAACTATACTTCCTTGTCACTGAAGATGTAGCTTTCAGAAAAGCATAGTAGTATGTTCAAGCCTGATCAGTGTAACAGTTCGTAGCACTCTAGGTGACTCAGTTTAGCCAAAGCCTCTATCGAGGAGAGAACCCTATCTCTTTTATAATGTTTTCTATTTATTCGTGGTTCTGCCATTCAAACCGAGAGCTATATAGAGTTACCTATCTACAGAGAGCTTTGTGATTTGCTGTTATGAATCCCAGGATAATTCACCATTCCCCTATATTATCTGTTAATTATAGAGTTGGAAACTTTCCTCCCGTGGTTTCTTCTTCGGAGACAAACTATCAGTCCTTCTACCCCTCAATTATATATTTGAAGTAGATAGAGCTCTGAGCACATCCAGCTTGAGCCAGGCGCATTCTCAGGTGGGGTGGGACCTGACAGCAGTTAGGTCATCATCTTGTGTTCAATGGAATTTAGAAATAAAGTGTATAAAGTAAGGATCTAAGCACTCTTACTCTAGCCCGCTAACTCGAGGCTTCCAGGTAAGAATACTGATGAGACATTTGAGCTAGAGAGTAATAGTAAATTAAAACCTGAAGTTCTAATGATAAATCTTACATAACAATGTACAGGGAAGTGAGTGGTGTCCCCCCCAAGAGCATATACAAATGGCTTGATAGGACTGCTCAACCCAATTTCTGGTGCAGTTATAGCTACTCTAGGACTTGAAGCAGTAATGGATCTTGTCACGATGATGGGACACTCAGAACCACACACACCCTTTTAGAAAATTGGGTGCCACCTTGAATAGATTGCCAAAGACAGGAATAGATTTATCCTATCAGGGTATCAATATCTTCTGCTCTGTTGGAATTGAGAGAAGTAGGTCTTCGCCTGCTACCCACTGTCACAGACAGGCATCCTTGTCTTCTTGTAAGTCTTATTAAAACTGAATGGAGAACTCATTCTTCCTGTGATAGTGATTTAACCAGCCATGGCAGTCAGCATTCTCCCATGCATACTCCACTGATTTTAACAGGAGGCATTTCTCTACCCATGTCTTCAGATATGCGGACTCTGAAGTCACTTTGGTCAGTTTTTGCCTTTGAATTAAAAAGAATTTATTGTAATCTTGGAACCTTTTTCTGAAAATGATTTTAGGACCAGCCATATTGTTCCAATACAGTTGGCTGATCAGCTGTGTTCATAAAAACTAGTGTTTCCACTGTTTTCACTGCTATGTGACTGTCCAGACATGTACTTTATTCTACTCTGATAAGTGCATCCTGTAAAAATAATCTATATGCTACTGAAATTCTTTCCTATAACTTAAGTGGGCAAAATGGTGCACCACAGGGCAAAATGTTTTCAACTAAGGTACCTCAAATAGGCTAACTTACAAAATATGTTCCAAATATGGGTCCTGTAATTAAAATTTTGCAAAATTGTTTAAAACTTTTTATGATATAAAATTACCATAAAATAGTTTGAATGTATCCCAACTTTTCCAGGAAGATAGTACATTAGAAGCTCTGTCACTGTTAAAGGCATTGAAGAATCTGGTAAGGAAATAATTTGAAAGTATGAGCCAGGCATCATGGTGTCCACTAGATGAAAAATTTGATACAAAGATAATGTCTCTCAGGAAGGTGTAGTGGATGGGCAGGAAGTAAAATGATTGCTAGCAGGAAAAGAAGAGATAATTAAGACTGAACCAGACTTTGGAAAAAGAGAAGTCTAGCACACCGTCTTGGACTTGGCAACTTTAGAACAATTGAATACTTAATGGTTCTACAGCACACTCAAATCCATTGTACTATATCAGAGTTACCCAAGGGAAGACTGGTAAAGAACTTCAGTGTGTGTCCCAAAGACTGCAAACAGATGGAGATGGGAGGAGATGTGTGAAGGGATTTTGTTTCACATGAAAATCAAGGAAAAGTACCTGCCAGCATGAGAAATTGCCAACAAAATGCCCTTGCTTACATTGGGAGATTTTTAAGAAATACCAATTACCTATATATAGTTGCAAAATTAAGTTATATTGCAAGTAATGAAAAAAATTGAAAATTATTCTGAAACATTGGAAAGGTATATAACAATAGCACTTAGGACTTATATATCGTTTCATAGTATTTTACAGCCCCCAACAAGCTGGGTCCTCATTTTACCGACCTTGGAAGGATGGAAGGCTGAGTCAATCTTGAGCCGTTGAGAATCAAACTACTGGCAGTCTGCAGAATTAGCCTGCAATACGCTGTATCACCACAAGATAATTGTTTTAGTTCCCATTTATCAGAAAAGCTGCAGGAAGGCAGAATGGGATGAACTATTGTTCAAAAAATTTAGCAAAGTATGGTTAAATGTTTCTTTTAGCAACATCATTTTCCTTATGTTACGTATATTACCCATAAAAGGAAAGATAGATTTGGGTGCTGAGAATCTGATCATTTCTTGAGATGATATTCCTTGCTTTATTTTAGAAGAAGCATCCAATCCCGGTAGACTGTCATCTAATGTCACTTAGCTCTCTGAGTGATATTCCATGTGTCTAATAGGCTAAACTAGCTGCTGATGGAAAAACTGCATTTATCTGCTTGCATAGGGTCCCAGTGCTGCCCTACAGATGGGAATGAATTAATGAACAAAAGGAAGTTGAAATAGTTGATTGTCTATAAAGAAAGATTGCCTATAGTGGTAGTCCTTGACTTGTGTCCACAATTAGGATTGGTATTGCCACTGTTAAGTCTGTATGGTTATAAAGCAAGATGTCACATGACCACAACTATTTACAATGCAACCCTCTCCCCGCCTCCCCAGGAAGTCATTATTAACCAATTGTTAGTTGTTAAGTGAGTACTCACCCCAATCCAAGCCATTCTGGATTTGGTCACCACCAGCCCTGAGTTTCAACAAGTTAAGGAAGTGGCTCCAACACATACACACACACACCCCAGGCCACCTATCTTCCATCCATACCCTTCCGAATACCCTGTATTCTGACCTGCAGAGCAGAAAGCAGCCCCAGAACTACACAGCTGCTTGCCATGCCCCAGGAAGCCTCAGCCACCCCAGCAAGCATTCATTTGCCCAGCTGCTAACTTACAAAATGCATCCAACTTGATCACAATTCAGAGGCTTGACAGCCCCACCCGCACTTGTAATCACAGGGGTGCTTCAACTCCCAGCCACCTAACTCGCCCATCTCTGGGCCAGCTTGCATTCCACTGCCTCTGCCAGCTCTGGGCTTCCCTAGCCTTACACTCCACTCATCCTATTGCCCTATTGCTTTGACTTCCACAACCTCGCAAGAAACATACATGCAATTTGGACTAGGCCATGAGGATGGCCTCAGGAAGAAAGGTTGGTATGCCCAGTAACTACTTTTGTGGAGGGCTAGGCTGGATGTGCCTCGTCAAGTAGCAGGAAGACAGCAAAGATTAGCTGGGGGTTGCAAAGCAAGCAGAGCATGGGGCTGGCTGAGTGCAGGGCTGCCAAAAAGACAGAGATGATGAGGGAGTTGAACAGGAGGAAGTTTCTTACCAAGGCTTGGAAGGGACCAAGCTGGGAATAAGTTCTCACCTAACATCTGGTGGGATTTGGCTAACAGTGGTGACAGAGACTATCAGGATAGCCATCACTAAGTAATGTGGTCATATGACATTGCAGCGAATGATCGCATTGCTTAACATTGGAAATTCCAGTCCTACTTATCATAGCAACCTGAGGACTAGCTGTATTCAAGTTATGTAATATATCAGTCATTTGTATCTCTGCTTTACAACATACTTCTATACATTTATGACTGTCTCCTCCAGTGTGTTGATTTTCAAATAAATTCACTTTCTCATGTTAACAAATAATTTAGAAATGGAATTATAAAAATAACAGATTTGAGTTAAATTCAGTAATTACTTGTTAGAGAAGATGTCACCTCTGAATTGCATGAAACAAACTTCAGAGTGTTGGGTATTGTTTAAGGGCATTTTTATTTAAAAAAAACAAAACCAAAGAAACATTTATGAGTCTCTAGAATGAATAAATTTATTGTCTTTACAAAAAAGTATTGTCTAAAAATATGAGGATACAAAGAAACAAGGTATTTGCAGTCAGATGTCTGGTGATCAACGGCCAGTTTGAATAAGAAATA